AAAAGCATAAAGCTGAAAAGAGTGTGCACAATTCTGACAAAACAAGTAGAAGGCCATTGGCATTTAAATAGCAATCAGCTATTTATTGTCTTCATACAGGTGAGTCGGCAGTCTGAAGTTTAACCTCCAAACCAAGTGAGCTGCTGTGTTGACTCTGGAACAAAATCTGATGTATTCAAGGCTAATCAGCTACATTGTTGGTTTGAAAACACATTTGCCTACCTGTCCTCTGTACCATGCATGTTCTCCCCATGTTTGCTTGGGTTCTTTCCAGATGCTCTGGCTTCCTCCCAGAGTCCAAAGACATGCAGTTAGTGGGGTTAGGTTAATTGGTGATTCTAAATTTCCTATAGGTGTAAATGTGAGTGTGAATAGTTGTCTGTCTCTGTGTGTTAGGCCTGGGTCAGATTGTCCACCCCCCTCTCACTCTATGGTAGCTGGGATAGGTTCCAGCACCCCATGACCCTGATAAGGATAAGCAGAAGAACGATGGATGGCTGGAATTGCTTGTTGGTTGGTACAGTGTAGTGGAGATGTCTTCTGGCTCTAAACATTTACGTTTAAATAACACTACTCATAATTTCAGTAATACTTATAGTTCTGACATCCTATCCTCACTGATGCTCATGAGCATCTTGGGAAGTGACTAAAAGAATGAGCTCCTGGAAATTAACTTTCTCTGAAGAGTGGCTGGGCTCCCTTAAGGGGAAGAGCTCAGTCATTTGGGTGGGACAGTCTCTACTCCTTCATAACAAAAGGAACTATTTACCAGATTAATTAGTATACCTTCCAGGTCAGGTGTTTTAAGCCTATTCTACAAGCAGGAGGCCTGTGCAAACTCAGGACACCCTGGAGTGGTGGCTGGGCAGAGGGAGTTCTCTCTAGGCATCTCTGCTTTGACTGTTACCCTCATGATCCAGATAAGCCATGGATGGATGGAAACATAAAAACTACAGCGCCATTGTAGTAACAATATTGTTACTGCCTTACATTTCCTTTCAAAAACATTACATTTGATAACATTGTAAGAAAATTACCCCAGCTTTAGCATAAAGTCGCAGTTATGGCTGTTTAATACACTATATTTATGTTGTTCTAAGGTGGCAGGGTGGTTAGCACATTTGCTTTGCAAGAGAAAGGTTGCTTTTTTGATTCAGGTCAGACACATAAAGTCTCTTTGGTAAAACTGTCAAATCAAACATTAGTATCAAACAAGTAGCTTTTCTTTGATATTGACTCAATGGGGCAGAAAAGTCTCTGAACGGTCCGGTGATCATACAGCTGTCACTATGTAAGCAGTTGCAAATTATGACAAACGCAACATTAGCATAACATAATGTGTGTAAGGAACACAGTAACTTTTTTCTGTCTAAAGCCTCAGTTATTCAAACATACATATAAATAAAAGAAATAAGACAGAAAGAAAGTACACTGTCAGTGGTTCCACATTGTAGTAATTATTATATATTAGCCTCATTTACAAGCAAAAGCTCCCTGGTTTGAGACTGGGAGAAGATACAAATCTAGTTTCACGGGGTCCCAAGCTGGAAAAATGGGAGGGTTGCATCTGAAAGGGCATCCGGTGTAAATCTGTGACAAAATGTACGCAGCCAAAAGTATCACAGTTTATCACCGTATCCTGTGAGCAAATTTTAAGAACATTTTTAGACTCTGTTGGTTTGAATTTTTTGAAAACTCTGTGTACCAAATATTTCATCAGCAGTTTCTTTTTGCTCGTTGTATAAAAATAACTACCGTTGCATTATTTCGATTAAAAACATGAGGATTTAGGCTCAAGTTCTTGTTATCGGATTCAAAATTTTCCCTACGTGGTCCTATGAAACATATTTGCAAACTAATAATTCTTTGTAATAAAAATAAATTAAATGCAGTAACAGCTAAGTTCAGGTTACTAGAGGAGTCTGTTAGAAAAGTAACTGCTAAGTTTATTCTGACCTGAAATCAAGATGAATTAATAAGTTCTCCCTTCAAGCAAACGTGCACTGGATTTTTAACAGGAGAAAATCTGATGTAGTTTTTCATGAGTAGAAAGAAGAAATAGTTGCAAAACCACAGGTATTCTTCCTCCAAATGTTGGCTACAGCTGGCATCCAGCTCTTACTATATTAAATACTCTGACAGTATATAAAAAACTATTATTTTACATCAACAAGCCATCATAAACATCAAATCCATGTTGCAAAACCATCTTAACGTAATAAAACCTATTTTAACTGTAGTAAATATTCAGAACTTACCATGAATTTTCCTCAACAAGATTTCTCAGTTAGTCTATTTATTCTTCATCAGCTCTTCCTTTCTTATTTTCTTATTCTTATTTTTCAAGCATAAAACTTAAAGTCAAATATTCTGTGCGAACATTACAAAGAGCTACTTTTGCCATTGAAGTCTAGACTTATGGGGTAAATCAAACTTGGCACTGACATGTGTTGGGACAGGACAATTTTACACATTTTACCATCTTTTTCAGAAATAGATATTATTTTTTTTATAAAATAGTAACATCTCTCAGTGTTCTCATGTTTTCTATTGCTTTGAGGGGTTTGTAAAGTACTGCATTCTGTTTTTATTTATATTTTACACAATACCCAACTCTTTAAGAACTTTGGATGAAAAAGATTTTTCAAAAGCAGGAACGGTCTAATTTATAAGGTTGACAAAATTTCTAGGGTTAAAAAGCAAACCCAACACTGCCTTAAACTTCTATTCTTTTTAATGAGCAGGAGTTGAGTAACTCCTTTGGCTGCAAATTGACTTCCTGTTGTGTGGAAAAATGGTCCTTGACTCCATTTCTTTTTGAGCTCAGTAAACACTTTGGGGTGAACTCTGTGGGCTCAGTTACTAGTTTCCAATTGGCTGGGGCCAGCAGTCTTGTTTCACTGCAGACTAATGTCAATGCACATGTAGAAAACATGGTCATATTGCTTTTATTGAGTGGTTACATATAAAAACCTGACTCTGACACAGCCTTCATGCAATATCACATAGATATTAAAAAATGCTGTTGTCTGTGGCTAGTTGCAGGTGGTGTTGTAACATCTTGGGAGGAAAAAGCAAATAACTGCTTTTGTAGATTCAAATTATGAATTATTAGTCCAACCTACTACTTCTGCTACCCAATATCGGGCTTTGGACTAGTCAGCTAGCTACCCACAAGTTCCTCCATCATTGTGTTTTTAAACCACACACCACAAGCACAAGTTAGATATAACCAAGGAACACTGCACACTTGTTGGCTATTGATTTGTCAATCACATGGTAAAGCAAACTCTGCTTTAACCTCTTCTTTAGCTCTAATAGTGACCATATTTGCAAAATGAGATTTATGTTGTATGAATTTATTGAAACTAAGAGAGGAGACCATAAACTCAAGGGGCTACTTCCCAGTAAAGTTCAATCAGACTTCAATCAGACCAAAAGAAGTCATTCCCCTGCTGGCAATTGGGAAAAATGCAGGTTTAAGGTAAGAGTGAACAATACCTGTGAAAGAAGCATAGCAAGAAATCAAGTGAAGTAATGCAGTTGTTTTTAATGATAAAGAAAGATACGTAATTAATATGGAACAAGGGATGAAATGTAATGACTTAATTACTGTACATCTGCTCAAAAACAGGTAAAAGGTGGAGCTTAATAATAATAATTATTATTATTATTTTTGTTACTATTATAATAATGAACTTTTCAACATTCTATAAAAGCCACTTGCTAGGTAAGATATTAGCACCAAAAATAAATAAGGATATAAGAATTTAAAAAAAAATGTCAGTGTGATTTAACACAGAATACTTCAGCCAACTTCAACAGGTTCGTTCCTACTGATGCTGTTGAATTTATTGTGTTTTATGTGAAATTGTCTCTGTAAATTAATTATATACTATGTGTAGTTGTCATCATTAAGGATGCTGATTGGTTGATTTTTTTGTAACTTTCTGACTTGCTGTCTCCCTCTGAATCCAGTCTCTATGATAAGCTATAACCTAACTATGGTAAGTGAACTTAATTTCAGCTCCATATAGCAGGGACATGAATACATATTGTCAGCTATCTCAAGCACTATCAAGGCAAACCTTAATTCTTACAGGTCTCCAAAATATTCAGACTTATGATGAATTTCCAACTTTCCCCACAATAATCAAGGGATTCTTTTTTGTATTCAATGATTTAAAAAAAAAAAAAAGTGTAGTAAACGTGAGTCTTTTTTTCCCCTTTTTTTTCTGCTGCCTATTTCACAGTAAGAAATTACAATGTGTGACTAAACAAATTTCTGTAGTAAATTATCCTAAAAAGGCTGTTAAGATGTTAAAATAGCACATGCATCACAGGCTTAGAGTGACCACAGGATTTATCACAGCTTCTTTTGTGTGGTGCTGCATCATATGAAATCTTTGTAAGGGGTTTGTTTGTTTGTTTTGCTGCTGATACAACCAAAGGACCCTTGTGGGACAATTAAAGGATTATTCTTTTCCATTCTATTCTATTACAGATGTGTATATGTAAAAAAAAAAAAAAATCCACTTCAGAATATATAATAGTAAATATTTCATACATCTGTGCCTCGTGTTGGCACTCAGCTGATTCTAATTACATTTTACAGACAGAAACTCTGATGTGAGGTGGGTCCTCGTATTGCATCGTTAGTAATGTAGGTAAATGTTTCATGGCTCTTCTCTGTGATTGTTCATTGTTGATACTTTTACTGTCCATTCTGAGTCAGTTATAAGAGGTGAAGTCCTTTATCAATAGTGGCAAACTTTTAATTTTAACTCTCTGAAGTTAGCTCCTGAAAGGTATCTCGACTGAGGCCGGCTGCTTTTATCTTTTCCACCCTGTACGGATACTTTTACTCGAGTAAAGGACCTCAGTGCTCGTTTCCACCTCTGCTGGTGATGTCAGACAGCGGCTGGGTCATGTGAAGGGCAGCAGCGGAGGAGGAGGTTCACGGAGAGTTCAGTCGCATACATTAGGTAACACCATCGGTCGCTGTGACATAACTAGTATGAAGCAGGTTGAATTGAGACATTTGTCAATAAAGAAGAGATAAGTGGAAGAAGTTCTGCAACAAACTTTGTTATGCAAAGCAGCCTGAATGCGCTTTACCGATGCTCTCTGATGGAGGACTGGCTGGCTGCGCATCAACATGCAGTTTGTGACCATCTGTGGGAAATATAGGTTTGTTCCTGCTCCCCTCTGAACATAACGCAGACATGCTTCAGTGTTAACACAGTTTGCATCAAGTGGGTTTTAAACTACTTCGGTGCAGAGAGAAATCACCCTCTCTGAAGGATTTTCCTATGCCGGCGACATTCCCATACGGACTTCACGGAGACTCACGACAGATCATGTTCGACTATATGGAGTTTCAAGTTTTCGGACCCGGGGAAATCGTGGACTTCTACAGCACTTCCAGTCCTTCGTGCATGTTGCAGGAGCAAGACCAGGATTTGGCAGCGTTCTTCCCCGAGCTGATCGAGTCCGACTGGCAGGAGCACCGGTACTCGCAATGTAGGTGAAACTGAGGATGAGTGATGTTGTGGTGCGCAGAAAGATCCTAATTTGTTTTGGTGTCCAGTGGAAAAAATATATAAATTCAATTCAGATCAATTCACTTTTATTTGTATAGCGCCAAATGCCTCGAGGGGCTTAATCCTCTGAAGAGAAACCAGAGTAAGGCCATGTGATTTTACTGACATTATTTCACCCAGAATGAGAAACACCCACGTTTGCCTCCATCTGTGCAGGATGTCCTCCAACCTGAAACCTCAAAAGGTTCTCAAAACGAATTTATATTAAGTGAATTTCTTTCCAGTTTAACCAGAATTTATAAAGCATCAAATCTGTAAACTGTAAAAGATTACATTAAATATTTAAACAAACTGGGGGGAAATAAAGGTAGAGTTTAAAAAACAAACAAACATGTATTACATGATAAAAGAGTGTTTCTTATTACACTGACATGGACTGTAATTGTTTAAAAAGCCGGTTATAATGTACTTTAATACCTTAACAAACTGGTGCAAGACTGTGAATACATGCAAGTTTAAATTCAGTGCAGACACTGGAAGCAAACCAGTGCAAGGATAGTTTTCTCTTAGTTTATGACTTCAGTATTGTATTTAATCAAATGTGCATTTAGCTTTTTATTTAGATCTTTCTACTTTCGAATCAGGAAATTGTGATTTGATTGTGTTTGCAAAGGGATGCATTTATATAACACTAACATCCACATTAACATACCTGTACAAACATAATGGACTTTAAGCCTCTTATCCCTCTAGGATCAACACACACACCTTCAAAGTAAAGCCCAAGGACGATTTGAACCCAGAAACCTCTTGCTGGTATTAACCACTACACTGACCATGATGAAACTGAACTTCATCATATTGTGTATCAACTGCTATTAAATGGTCACGAGCTGCCTTTTAATATTTAAAGGCTGAGATAAAATGAAGCGTTATCTATTCTACATTCTTGTGCTCTGTATCTAAATGCTTTGATGCTTTCCGGGAGCCTCCTCTTTTCTCTTAATAGATAAAGGATGTGAGAAGAAAGTGAAAACAGACTACTGAGCACATGGCAGCTCATGTCTGTGTGGTCGTCTTGGTCTGTGTTTGGGTCTGTCCAGGGACGGTCACTTTGGTGTCACCCTGGGTTCACCGGACGGTCACCGGCTCAAGAGGTCAGAGGAGAGTCAGACTGTTGCCAAAAGTGGAAGTAGCATTTTTTGTGGAATAAAGCATCAGTACAGCAATTTAAAAAAAATAAATTGTCAATAGTTAAAGTACTCATCCTAGAGTACAACCGGGAATTTGGGAAAACCTGGAAACTAGGAGAAAAATAGAAAAACTATTAGACTTTAGATATTTTGGTCCTTCTGATCAGGTTTGGGTTTTTATTCTCCCTCCTACAAATAATAATAATAATTCAATTTTTATTTTAGCAATAGAACATACAATAGCATGTTAGAAATGGGGACAAAACATACATAAATGGACTTTACAAAAACAAAATAAAACTATATAACATTTTATTTTTTAGTGTAATCACCGAATTGCTATTTACTCATATGATGGTAAATATCTGTTGTTTTAGTCAATGCAAGCAAAACTGCCACAATGTGGCTGTTTCCAACTTCTTTCTATATGACAGAAAATAAAATATTGTTGTGTAATAAACTGAACGCTGACAAGTTATGATGACCACATTTCATTTGTTTCTGACATTTCATTGGATAATCAAGAAAAAGATTATTGTAGGTCAGAAATAACTTTGAATTAACCTGATAATTATTATCATTACTGATAAATCTGCATACCGTTTTCCCTTGAAAAAAATCTTCAAATGTGAATTTAACTGACAATAATTTCACAATAAGAAAAGAAAAAATCTGTAAATATATTACAGTTGATAATCTGTAAATGTAGTTTTTGTTTGTCATGATTTAAACAGCTTATCTGATTGTAGCAAGCTAAAAAAAACATTAGAAAAATAGGAAGTTCCTTTACCGAAGGTTGCAGGTTGCATAACAGGCAACTGAGGTTATTCACAAAAATAAAGGGTGAATCCCTGCTTTCAGTATCACTAATAAATAACCCAGCAGGCATCAAGCAGCATGCGGCCTTAATAATTAAGCTTTACTAGTCTTTAATACCAAGTCAAGCATTTGTTATTTTATCCAGCTACATGTTGCAGCTCCTGTCTTACTGTAAACCACAATCAAAGGCTTTTAAACTTATCTCTGCCTCCAAAATCTTTTAATGTTTTTCTAAATTTATTGTTTGACTCAAACAGTGCATTGTGGTATACATCAAACAGCACCATCTAAATTGGGATGGGGGCAACCCTCTTTCCCCTACCAAATCACTTACACCACCCTGCCACACACACTTTCTGTTTCTCCGTCCTCCCTCTCATCAGTCAGTTGGGCTTGTGGCATGCTCCTGCATTGTTTTGGATCTGGGGAGCAATCGGCCTGATGGGGGTGTCCTAGTTTGACCCGCCGATTCCAGGTTCAACCAGAGGCCACGGATTCAAGGGGATGGATATGAACAATTTTTCTCGTTTTGTCCCCTTTTCAAAACAGCTTTCTTGGTTTTGTGTCAGGGCTGGAGCAGCGGAGGTGATCAGAGAGCCAGCAGGGAGGCCGAACGAGCCCCCCAGGCCGGACAAAGTATCTTCTTGGAAATGGCTTTAAAGTGGGAGTGTTGAGTGCTGTGGTGGATGTGAAGTGAAACATTCAGTGGAAAAAATGCTGTGCTACAGTAGGTCACCACATGTGGAAAGCTGTAGATATATTACTGAGTCTGTTTGTGACTCATTTTCAAATTTATGAAGCAGAGATGTGATACATGCCTGTTTAATTTTATTTGTGTAAACTGAGCGTTGTGTTTGAAGTAGTGGGGCTGTACAGGATCATGCTATAATCTGCCACAGAAAAAAAGCAAGATTAGTCTACGCTTGGCTCAGTGAAGGATTCACAAGGTGATTTCATCAAAACGTTGGTTGCTCAGGTCTGATCGGGCATGATCGGTGCCTGAATATATGTGTAACCACTCTCAGGGGCCAGAGTAGGGTCAATCTATCCTATTGTCATGACTAAAAATTAACAGAAGGTGCTTTGTATATTTGGACACATTAAAGCTTTTTTCGTTCCTTTGTTGTTTTGGGTAAACAGGCCCGAGACTTGAAGCGTTTTCTAGGATTTGAAATCACTAATTTAACAGGATAACATTGTCAGATGGGCCACAATAAATAAAAATGCATTGGCATGAACTGCAGGTCACAAGTGCCATAATTTGCCATATATCTCTCACAGCAGTTTGTTCTTCTGTGTCCTGTTAGTGAATGTGGAATGAAAACCGAATATTCTTGAAACCTTATTGTTATAAAAAGTCTTCTGAAGCATGCAAACAGTCCACTAAATATCCTCTACATTTTAATACAATCTGCCTTTTGCATTTCTGAGCTGTTTGCTTCATTGTGTCAGAAATGGTTCATCAGTAATTTTTAACTCATCACTAAATGTTGGTATTTCTACTTGTTAGGTCTGCTTTGAGGAAACTTTAGAATGCTTTGCAGATAAAAGGTCTAAAGTACATTTCATGTATGATGATAATTATTTTTGTTGACAGGTTTCTCGCTGTATATATTAGACAAATATAAAGCTTAACAAGTAAATAATTTCCTTTTAAAAACTGTGCAAGGCAACAACTTATGTTACAAAATGAATAAAAGCTTTATCTATAATGAGTAATTTTTCATGTTCTGACTTCTTGTTGCAGCTGTTATTTCCCAGCAATATTTCAGCTTCAGTGTTTAAATGATGCGCTGAGTTTGATATCCATTTGAATAAATTTAATTGTCGCAGTTTTATTCTCCCTGAGATGCTCGTTTGATTTGATATAATTTTGTGTGTTTTTCAGCAGTGGAAAGTCAGAGTTCCAGCTCCAGCTTCAGCTCGGACGACCTGTTTACCCGTCCTGCCTCACCACCTCCACCTCCACGCACTTACAAACCCTGCTTTGTGTGTCAGGACAAGTCCTCGGGCTACCACTATGGAGTCAGCGCCTGCGAGGGCTGCAAGGTAACACATCAGGCTGGTGGTCTGCTTTACAATGCCCCCTCTGTTAAGCTTGGATAAAATCCCAGACTTTGTCTTTTAAAAGTAAGTCCCTGTGTCATGCTTGTATTTACAAGATGGTCTTAGTTTTTCCTGCTAATCTCCTAAACAGATAAACAAACAAATACCTTCTTAATATGCAAAATGTGACAATATCATATGTTTTAGTTTTTTCCTGTATAAATTCACATTTTTTTTTTACCTAAATCAGTTCAAATTAAATGAACCACTGGATAGACAGACACAGTATTTGTTTTTGTTTTTTCTTAATCCATTTTCCTTTTCTTTTTTTTCT